AAAAATAAAAGCAAAGCAAATGTCTAACTTCGCCTGACTGTACGATGTTTATGCTGCAGGTTTTTCTGATTTTCTTCGTATTTTCTCCTATTTATCTGCGTATTGTCAGTTCAAATACTGACCCACCTCACATCATTATGTTTGTTGTTGATGATCTCGGATGGAATGACGTTGGGTATCACAATTCAAACATAAAGACACCAACCATTGATAGGCTCGCTGAGAGTGGCGTCAAATTGAACAACTACTATGTTGCCAATGCCTGTGTTCCGTCGCGAAATATGCTGATGTCTGGTAGGCACGTGGTGAGTAGTTATTAATTTCTTCTCCGCTTGGCTCGGTATTGTGTAATTATGCAATGTTTTGTCTACGACAGTCTGTAGTCAGGGTGGGTCTCCATGAAAGTGTACCTAAATTAAGCAAGGCTGGCACTTGCACGACTTTTGGCTACGATTTTGTCGTGGATAGTTAACGACGAGTTCACGAATTCGTGCCCATCAGTCTCCACATTGACAAGAACTCAAGAACTGGCACGACGAATTCACGCATAGTTTGCACATAGTTTACGCACTTCCCGCCTTGGCACGACAAGTTTTCGCAATTCCGACGGTGTCGTGCCGACTTGGGCACGCCATATAAACAGGAGACCTTCCGACCCCTGGCCATTTTCGGATTGGCTGTGTCTGCTTTGTTTTAGACATGCTGTCTCTGTGATATAATTTGTTTCTTCGCTGGCGATCTTTTGAAATAGCGAGCAGTGTTCAGGATGCTCTATATATACACACCTGCACCGACGGGAGCGCCACTGTCGTACGTAACTGCTCGTCAACTCGTCCTGAACTGCTCGTGCCATGCGCAATCTGTTCGTGAAGTGCGTAAGTTAGTCGTGGCATGGCCACTCTGCTAGGCGCACCAATTCTTGAACATATCGTGAACTACTCGTGAACTCGACGTGAGCTGTTTGTGAACTATTCGTGAAAGTTCGGGACAGTCATGGAATGGCGCGCACTGCCACGCATCCTTCCGCATCGCCCGACGAGTTCACGGCGAGTTCACGAACAATTTACGCATAGTTCACGACCGAATATTTCATAATTCTCGTCCCGACATGGCACGCAGTCAGGACGGGTTTACGCACACTTCACGCCAGTTTACGAATAGTTTGCGCACTGGCACGACTCGACTAGTGCCAATGCGTGCCATAGAATCGTTCAGCCTTGCTTTATGATTGGGTCGTGAATATGCGCAAACTGTTCGTGAACTCGTCGTGACGATGTGTGCAAGTGTGTAGCAGTGCGCGCCATGCCACGACTGTCACGAACTCCAAAAATAGTTCACGAACAGCTCGCGCCGAGTTCATGAGTAGTTCACGACATGTTCACGAATCGGTGCCTTCCCACAGACATGGTCACGTGTACTTCACGCATTGATGGCACGCGCAATTCAGGACTAGTTTACACACTTCACGAACAGTTTGCGCATGGAACGAGCAGTTCACGAACAGCTCACGACTACTTCGCTACAGTGGTGCTCGCGTCGGTGCAGGGGTATATATAAGGCTTCTCGGACACTGCTCGCTATTCCAGAGATCGCCAAAATGGCCAGGTGTCGCGAAGGACTCCTTTTTATGGCGTGCCTATGTCGGCACGACACCGTCAAATTTGAGCTAACTTGTCGTGCCAATGCGGGAAGTGCATAAACTATGCGCAAACTATGCGTGAACTCATCGTGCCAGTTTGTGTCAATGTGAACATTGATGGGAACGCATTCGTGAACTAGTCGTGAATAGTGCGAGAGTCTCCCAGTGCCCCCAAATGGCACGACTTTCCACGACAAAATCGTGGCTAAAAGTCGTGCAAGTGTCAGCCGTGCTTCAGAAACATGACTAACAACTTGAATGTCGTCCACATTCATTCCTTACCAAAAGATACGTCGGGTTATATGTGTTATGTTGTGTATTAATATGACCTTTCCTTTTATGAAACGAATGTGCTAAAATAAATCACGAGAAAACGCGAAAATTGGGTGATAATTGTACATATTACATAGAACATTGATTGGATCGGGAAAATGTTCAAGGTTAGGTCTCACAGATTGTTTTCCATCTCCGTGACTATCCGGATGAACAAAAACACTAGTCTGCACACTTTCACAGTCTCCACATCGTACAGTCTCATTTATCGCAACATGAAAACAATGAATCTGAACACGCAGTCGGCTATTATTTAGTATTATTATTATTGAAAAAAAAACAATGCGTTCTTCAAAACATAGTATTGAAATATGTAAGCCATTTTATTGCAAAATTGTAAGAAAACATTTTTAATACATCTGTAGTGAATAGATCTCACTTTTCGAAAGGTCAGGATTTTGCTCAACATTTACTCAGACTGCTTAAAATAATCATCACTAATTAGTACACTGTCTGATTGATGAATCATGTTTCTAAATTTGCATAATATATACTCATTTATACCGAATATAAAATATTATCAACAGTGGTAAAATAATGATTTTCAATTCTTTGATCAGCTGTCACATAAAAGAATGAATTACGATTTAAGAACACAATAGTGTACTTTCTATGGGTTGTGATACTTATTGCATATTGCATTGTTAGCATTAAATTCAATATTAAATAATTATTCCAATATACATTACACAAATAAGAGAAATGTAGACATATGTCTTCGCTATTCCGCAAAGAACAATAAAAACGTTATTGAGCAACTATAATATCCGCGGTTCCTATTGTTTTGCTAGGTTAATCAGTTAGTACTAACACGCGTGTTGTTATCAACATAAACAACAAAACCCAATGTTCTGACTCGCGATATAACGTCACCAAATAAGCATATTTCACAACAATGACGAGAGTACAATGTGCTCTACACCACTTGCACAGTTCGCGGACCTCATTGTTGTGGATATTTTAGGATTTTCTGGCTCATACATACATATGACAAGCCGGTAGGTTTGAGCGAAAACGGCCTGGCCAAAAAAAAAATCACAGAAGAAATAATACGTGACAACACTGGAAATCACACACACAGACACACACACACACACAATGACAAGCCGGTAGTCTGATTCGCGATCCGCTCCGCTCAAAAACAAGCAACATGTTTTTGGCTGTTTCCATGGTGTGACATAAACGTGAAGCTAACGTCGGCTTATAACTAAATGTATACGAAGTTCGCAAAAACCATTCAGTCTTTAGAAGTCACTTAATAGTTTATTACTAGGACGTATTCTGCTGTTACATTTATTATTTCCAACTGTTTTGCGCTAGTGTTTTCTAGATTGAAGGCAGCATTTACAGTTCATTCAAAGTTCAAAGTTGCGTTAGGATTACGTTGATACAGCGTAACAATGTTGGCGCGGTGATCTCTTATCAGTGCGCAACGTAGCCAAAATAAAAAAAAAACATGATCATTTGAACACTGCTATCACAAAACTGGTAGAAGGTAATATATTTGGGGCGAAAGTATTCAAAAATCAGTTTTTGGATGTTGCAATGTCAGTGGTGGGCCAGAATTTGTATCCAATTAGTGACGGTACGACCTACCTGTGAAGTATAAACAAAATCAGCTCAGCCAAAAAAATCACAGAGGAGTTAAAAGCCGTTGCAGGTGAAAAGTTACCCCAACTTTGGGGTCAAATGTCTCGGTAATGAGAAAAGATATCAAAAATTCAAATAGTAACTTTGTGCCCACACTCAAGTGAGTAGAATGAGCTATGTCTGATGTGTTGTATCCTAAATTTGTAGGAGGAGATACATTTGGCGCGAAGCTATCAAAAAAATCAGTTTTTTGGCTGTTGCTATGGCAATGGTGGGCCAACAATTTTTTTTAGATTTGTCCTGATAACTAGGGTGAAGGTGTGATCTACCTGCCAAGATTGAGAGAAATCGGCCCAGCCAAAAAGATCACAGAAATAATACGTGAAAACACTTGAAATCACACACACACACATACTATATGCTATATGTTCCGAGGACTTCATTGGATTAACTTTTAATATAGTTGAATTAACTTTTAATATAGTTGCGATATGAACTCGATTAAAACGCGTTCCTATATAGGGTTGCGTTTTAATTGGAGTTTAATTAAACTCAATTA